CGCAGGGCATGTGCATTGATGTGCTGGTGAGGCACGCCCCGCACTCTCGTCTGCCACTTGCAGTGGTGCAAGGCTGGTGGGCTAGCATGGTCTCGCATGTCAGCAGCCGATCTCAGCCAGCACCGCTACATTGCCTTCTGGGTGCCAATGCGACCTTAGGATCGCAGGTGTCAGAGCACGCGGGCGACGTGGCGCCTGAGGTTGAGAACGAGAGCGGGCAGTGCTTCCACCAGTTCCTGCGAATCACGAGACAGCGCGCGGTGTCTACGTTTCTGCCATCATGTTCTGGAATTCACGGGACCTGGTTACCTCCAGGGGCTCAGGGTCAGGACCCCAGGCGCATAATCGATTGCGCTACGACCCCCACGGGCCAGCTGTCAAACGTTACGCAATAGGGGGTGGACATCGACCTCGACTGATCGATGAGATGTGACGATCATTTTGTGGTTTCAAGTGACATGTACGCGCGGCGCGCAGAGCAGTGCGAGCCAACCGTCACATGGACTAGGTCCCGACAAGGTGTGACGAAGTATGAAGACCCCAATTGTCTGCAGACGTTTGCAGATGAACTACGTAGAGTGCCTCAACCTCCCCTTTTTCAACTCATCCTGAAGACCACGCCGAGCATTTGAATGCTCACATCTTGAGAACAGCTGAGCTTGCCTTCCCGCCCAAGATGTCGGACAGTGGCCGTCAACCACGCAGCAGCTGGATACCCCGAGGCTCCCTCAATTCAATGGACCAGCGAATGCACGGACGACGAGCGTTACGGGTCCGACGGGTCGGGCTTCCCACTATGCTCCTGGCGCGTCTGTTTGTGGCGTGGGCGTCAGACGGGGCTTCGGAGGGATAAGGGTTTTGCTTGCGGATGTTACGTCGGCGGCTTGCAACACGGGGCGGGCCCTCACACCATACCTTGCTGCAGTGCGGCCGCCGAGTTGCTGACGCAGCCGACCAGGTATGCGATGCCACCAATACCGTGCCACTAGAGACTCCCCAAAGTAGGCTCGCACTGCCCCCCTCGTCACACTGTAGGGCTGCGATGCCATGGGCGTTTACCGACAACGTTCGAGCTCACTGAGGTCCCTCGCGGCTTCCGATTTCAGCTGGACATGGTGCTTCGTTTCTATCATGCTTGGTTTGGCTTATTCCGGGCAGCTAGCTGGGTGTTTCTCAGAGCAGCCACGTATGTCACGCAGCAAGCTGCTAGACAGGACTCGGCTTGGCACTGCGCCAACATAGCTAACGGGGTACGCTCAGCCTGGGACCGCCGTCAGTTTGCAGAGGCGCATGCCGCCTCGTGGCGAATCGGCGCGGGTTCGAAGCGACGGCGATTCGAGCGAGTGCTGCCAGCATTGCAGGATCTGACAGGACAGGCAGTGGTATCCGAGCAGCAAGTAACAAGAAGGTGGCAGCAGCATTTTGCAGGGTTGGAGCTGGCAACCACTCGGCCCGTCAGCGACGTGCCCATGTTTGCAGGACACTTTGGACGTGCACCGCACGCGCGCATGCACATCGATCCCGTCTCTCTTGCATCCATCCCCTCGCTCTCTGACTTTCAGTGGTCTCGCCGTCGCGCTCGGAAGTCGGCGCCTGGATGTGATGGGGTTGCAGGAGGCCACCTGAGGACCCATCCCACGCTCATAGCTAAATCCCACCAGCCCCCTGGGCGCAGGTGGTATAGGGCGTTTCCTTTTCCAACCTCTTTCCTTTCCCTGCTCGGGAGGCTTACCCCCCCCCTCCCTGCGTCTGGACGGGCTCCCCCGCGAGGTGTCAGAGGGCCCTTTTCGGCCCAAGATGGCTCCAAGAGGGCTTCAGAAAGTGCGAGATGGCCTCCAAGATGGCCCAAGATAGCGGTAGATGGCCCAAGATAGCCGCCGACACGCATCCAAGAGGACTCAAGACGGCCCCAAGACGGTTTCAAGTGCCCTCCGAGCCTTCCGAGGACTCGCCCAAGAGGCCCAAATCCTTAAAACACCGAATGGGGAATCCATGTGCTTCGTCAATCTTTTTCGCCAGGACTTTGCTGAAGCCGGCGCACGACGCGACACTTCCCTCGCCGAGCAGGCGCGCTGCCAAGCTCGACCCCTGCACCTCACCTCAGGCCTTTGTAGGGCGGTGCGGGTGGGACCAGAAGAAGGGCTACAGAAATGGGAAGTGCACGTCGAACCAGAGACGAATAACGTAGGAAACGCAGTATCGAAAGTCTTTTTCGCCAGGACTTTGCTGAAGCCGATGCACGACGCGACACTTCTCTCGCCGAGCAAGCGTGCTGCCAAGCTCGACCCGTGCACAGTTGAAATAACCGAGGTGGAGACTATACTTCCCGCATTCAGCACTGAGCTGGCGCCCTATGGCGCCGTCTATCAAGTTTTGAACCTTCTTCAGTAAGTTGTTACCTGGAGAGATGCTACGGGCCCGCCAGGGCCACACTTCGTTGCGATGCAACTTGTCTTCGGTTGTAATCATTCTTGACCACAGATTGATGGCCCAATCCTTCTTCCTAGAGGTGCAAAACATGCCAGCCAGGATGCGACGCAACTGCGGTGGGTGCTCATTTTTCTGAGCAGTTCTGCAGGAGGGGTCGCCCCGGGCTTTGCCCGTGAGCTGGATGCGAGGCTGGCCGGACAAACTGCAAGTGTCACGACCAATGCACTTGGCCTCGAGAAGCGCGCGAGGGGCAGGGAGGTGCCAGAGTCGCAGCCGGGCGCGAGCTCGGAAGTCCCTACCGAAGGCGCAGTAGTCGACCACCACGTCGAGCACGTTGGGCTGAAGGAGGAAGCGCTCCCTCGAGCGCAGCGCCCAGAGGTGGGACTGGGCGGGGTTCTCCTCGCCGCCGGGGATCTCGCGCCCCAGCGCCAGGCGGGCCAGCTGCCCAGCGCGGTCGGCCAGAGCGTTGCCCTCGGCGAGCTTGGCGGCGTCCCGCGGCGGGAGCCCCGCGAGGCCGCGGGGCTGCTGAGGCGACCGCAGGGCCGCCGACATCCGCGAGCCTGCTGGCGCCCGCCTGGCGCGGGAGAGGCTGCTGCAGGGAGTCCCCAGCCAGAGCCCCCGCGCAAGACCGGAGAGGATCCAGCCCTTGATGACGTTGAAGACCTCCTGCACCCTGAGGTCGCGACGCGGCCCGCGCCGCACGTCGATGCTCATGACTGCGGCGCCGCGCCTGCGGAGGGCCTGGCCGAGGTGCCCCGCGCCGGCGAACACCTCCAGGAAGACCTTGCCTTCTCGAGGGCGGGCCTTTCTCGGGGCTGCCCGAAGCTTGCTCCGCAGGCGCTTGGCAAGCGCGCCTCGCGGGACTGGAGGTCGAGCAGCGCGCGCGGGTCGAGCCTCTCGAGCTGCTCGCTGATCATGGCATGCTTCTCGTAGCGCTGGAAGCTGAGAGGCGACTTCCACTTGCCCCGCAGCTGGATGTCGCCCAGAGACCCCCGTCCTAGCGCCTTGTCGTGACTGGCTCCACCGCGACGAAGCCCGCGGGGCGTTGGACGCAGTACCTCGCAGCCCACGGCCACCGCGGCCCTCTTCATATCCGCCAAGAACTCGCCGCGCGGGATCGGGAACAGGCGCTGCAGCGGGGCTCGACGCTCCTTCCGCTCGAGGAGAGCGTGGCCGACCCACTGGTGCTCGGGAGGTCCAGGGCCACGGAGGAGTCCACGAGGCCTGTCTTGGAGGACGTCCCGAGGTCCTCTGGATGGAGGGCGATGGTGACCTGGCCCAGGACGCCGGGCATCCCGGCGATCGGCCGGATGACCTGCCTCCCGAGCAGCGCGAGCCCCTCGCCTGGCCAGCAGTAGGTGACGAACAGCAGGACGATGAGGAGGCCCATCAGCGGATTGCTGGAGGCCAAGAGCCACTCGGCGATCCCTGCTGCCACCAGCCAAGGGGTCGGTGGCCGCGACTGGGGGAGGCCGCAAGCGAGCCCACCCGGCGGCTGCCTGGTGGGTCAGCGGGAACGTGGACCGCATGGTCAGCCCGAGGGACGGCAGTGCCCACAGCAGCGCGGACATGATGAGCTCCCCGGCGTGGGGGCCGCCGCCGCGGTCGAAGAGCACCAACAGGAAGTCGTTCAGGTGCACGTCCCGCGCGCTGGCCGTCCACTCGGGCAGCGGCATGACTGCAAGCCAGCCGGCGAGCTCCATCAGCGCCCGCGCGTACTGCATCTGCGTGGGGAGCCGCACGCTGTTCTGCGCCAGCCTGGAGAGCCGCGGCGCCAGCCGCTTGATGTCCGTCCACCTCGGCGGCGATCCTGGGCGAGGGCGCGGGCGGCGAGCGCGGGGGGCGCTGCGCCAAAGCCGCACGTCGGCCGCCCGGGCCGCGGCGGCAGGCGTGAGCGGGCGCCCAGCTCATCGCCCACGGCGCGGTCCAGCCCGGCAGCTCCCTCGGAGTTGAAGGCCCCCTGCAGCCGCGCCTCTGGCGAGCGACCCCGCTGCCTGCGGGCCGCGCGCGGCGGGGCCTCTGCCGGGGCCCCGCCGGCCAGCGCGGCGGCGAGGCGGCGAGCCTCCATGGCCGCCCGCGGGCGCGGGCCGCGCGCCCGGCATCCGAAGCCCTCGCCCCGAAGCCGAGTCGCGAGGGTTCAGCTCCGAAGAGCGCCAGCAGAAGGAGGGGCGGATGCTGGCAGCATTGCGATTGGCGGCCCACCCCCGGCAGGCAGTGATGAGCGAGAATACGGCAGCCGCCCCCTTGCAAGCGGCGCGCGTGACAGACGTGTTGTCCCCAATGTAGAGGGCGCGATTGCGATGGCGATTGAGCGAGCGGACCGCGCGGCGGACCCACCAGGTGAGGGCCGCCGCCTCCAGGTTGTGAACTGAGTTCGGCCGACGGAAGGCGCGGGAGGCCACTACGGCCCACCCTTCGCCTAGCAGCAACTCGCGAGGCACCTCCTGGAGGCGGGCATGCCTCCCGATCGAAGAAGGGCCGCAGCGTCGGGCAGCCTCGGAAGCTCCTCCTCATCATGCAGCGCGTGCTCACGGTGGCTGCCCCCGGCGGTTGCGAGCGGGCCGCGGAACCGAGCGCGCTCGCGCAGCCGCCCCGCGCGGCCCGCGTTAGCGCTGCCCCGCAGGCTCTCGGCGGCGCCAAGCCCCCACTCGGAGGCATCGTAGGCGGTGACCACCGGCAGCCACTGCATGTCGGAGCGGGCCACGACGGCGGGCAGCAGGGCATGCGCCCAGCGGAGCTCGCGGCGCACGCTGGGCCAGAGGGGCGCCCTGCGGCGTCCCATCTTCTGGCTGAACTGGTAGACAGCGGAGAGGACGGAAAGCAGGTCGCGGCGCAACGTCATCATGGAGACCAGGTGCCCGATGAGGCGCTCCAGCTCCAGGCAAGATGGGGTAGCCCCTGCTCGCAAGACGTACTCGAGGGCCTTGGCCACTCGCCAAAACTTCTTGGGCGTGGGCCGCCAGAGCCGCTGGTGCGCCACGTGCTCGAAGCCCAACAACTCCAGCGATCCCGAACTCGGGTCGGGCATGTCCACGTGAGCCTTCACGCCCGCGCCGTCGAGAGTCGTCAGCATGTGGGCGACCCCGTTCACAGCCTCGCACTCGTTGTCGGAGACCACGGCAAGGTTGTCGATGTAGCAAAGCTTGGAAGGGCCCTCGCACGCGGGCGTCGCTGGCACCTTGTCCCTTAGCCAAGGGGCCGAAGGTACGCGCGAGGCAAGCAGGTGCTCGCGAGCCCTCTGAATGAAGTGCACCGCCCACGCCCAGCCCATCGGCGCGACGCGCGCCTGGAAGGCGCGCTCGACGTCGCTGTCCGCGAGCTCCAGCCTCTCGCGCCATCTGGCAGGCAGGTGGCGCGCCAAAACCGGCGGGAGTACGAACAGCGGCCGCAGGCTGGCGGGCAGCTCGCACTGGTAGAAGCAGACCTCGATATCGGCAGAGGCCACCCAGAGTCGCGCTCCGGGCTCGCTCTCGAGGTCCGCCAGCGACTCACCGCTGGCTAGCGAAGTGCACGGAGGAGGAGGAGCAAAGTGGCAGTTGCTCCGTCTAGCGTCGAAGATCAGCCTCAGCAAGCCATCCCTGCGCTTGGCCAAGAAGGCCCCCGTGGTCTCCTTGACGACGGTGGCCTTCTCCAGGATGCCCCTGTCCAGGAGCTCCGCCAGGAAGCGCCCGCGCGTGAAGCCCCTCAGCCTCAGCGCGGGGTCCAAGGCCATGGCGGGCCCGAGCTCGTGCAGCGCCGCCTGCGCCTCCGCGGGATCGCGGAAAAGGCCGCTGCCCCCTGCCAGCGTGCACTGCAAGTCGTCCGGGGCCACGTCGCACAGCGGCGCGGCCCCAGCACGTGACTGCGGCAAAGAGATTCTGCTAGGCTGGTAGGTTGCATCAAAACTGTCGGCCACACTCGAGTCGACGCAGCCGCCGCCGCTACCCTGGAGCGCCTTCCATGCTCCCAAGGGGTCAACGTCAGCCGGTGGAGGTCCGCGCCCACCGTGCCAGAGAGCGCACCGCCGAGGCCTGGGCGGCGGTCACCTGGGCATCGCTGGACGCCCTGCCGCCGCCTCCCAACTCGCTGAACGCGTCCAGGTCTGCACGGAGCCACACCTCCTCGCCCCGGCGCCGCCTGGCTTTCCGCTTGCCCGCTGCGGAGAGCCCGCTGCCCGTCGCGCCGAGGAGCAGCTCGTCGAGGGCCCGCCCGCCCGGGAAGGGCAGCAGATCGCGAGGGCGGTCGTCAGGAGGCTGAAGACCAAACGCCATGTCGAGCCGACCACCTCTAGCTGCGGGCGCAAATGCGCCGGCGCCCCCTCCCGGAGAGGCGCGCCGGCAAGGTGAATTTCAGGAGCGGCCTCGCTGGCCGCGGCCGCGCGCCTTCGCGCGCGCGCCGCTGCCGCGGGCCTCGCCCGGCTGCTGCTGGGCTTGACTGCCTGCCGCGGCCCCCTGCGCGAGCCGCCTCTCCTCCCCCCCCTTGCGCTTCTCCTTGAGGATGGCGCTCTCCTGGGCGAGCCCGCCCGCCGCGTGCTCCTCGAGCGCCGGGCAGACCAGCGCCGCGCCCTTGCTCCGCGAAGTCCCCAGGAAGGCGCGGCGCTCGTCGAGCCAGGAGCCGTCGCCCTCCTCGCTCGCTTCGGCCGCCTGGAGCTCGGGTGCGCACAGCTCCTGCCAGAGCTGGTAGCGCCTCGGGAGGACCCTCGAATGTCTCCAGTTCGGAGCAGTTGAGCTGGTCGAAGACGCAGGCCCTCTCCAGCACCTCGGAGATGCAGGCGTGCTCCTCCACCCCAGCGTCGCTCGGCGAGACCTGCAGCAGGTTGCGCCACCAGTGGCGCTGCGTGGGCGTCCAGCCCGCGTCGCGGATCGCCTGGAGGAGCCAATTGCAAGTGCGAGGCCCGGCCGCTGACCAGCCAGCCTGCGCCGTCTCCGAGAGGCAGACCACCGCATCGCCATACTCCCTGAAGCGGCGGTTGCTCCTGTCGAAGCGCACGGGGAGGGTGCGCAGGTCCCCCTCGCCAGCACCTGGAGAGAGCGACCCAGCCACGGCCACGCAGAGGGGCCCAGCACCGGGCACCATGAACACACCGCGGTCGCCAGAGGCGAGCAGCTGGCCTGTGGAGAGATCGACCGCATCGCCGAGGGCGAAGCCGCGGCGGGACTCGGCGGCCACCCAAGCCACGCCGGCGGCGGCCCCTGGGAGGGCCGCAGCGGACACGCCCGCCTCTCCGGAGCAGCGCCAGGGCCAGCGCCGCCGCGAGGAGGAAGCACGTGCTGCGCCACGAGGACCTGGCGCGACTCGGCGTCGATGTCGATGTCGCCCTTGTTGTCCCGGACGTAGTCCTCGCCGCCCTCCAGCAGCTCTCGCTCCTCCAGCGCCATGAGGTTGACGAACCTGAACAACTCAGCATCCGCCATGTCGGCGCCGAGGCCCCCCAGCGGCCCAACTCGATGCACCCCATCGCTCTCCACGAGGTCCTCATCGTAGATGTCGCCGCTAGGCGTCGCTGCCACCCGCCGTGATGACGCCAAGCGGGCGGCCACCAGCAGCCGTTCGTGCCATAGTGGGTACCCCTCGTACCGCTCCAGGACTCGAGACCCCCGCTGGATCTGCGAGAACCACTCCGGCCGCGGCTCGCCTTGGCGCCAGCCATCCTGCATGCCGTGAGCCGATCACCAGGCGCGCGCCGAAGAGCACGCCCGTGAAGAGGAGGCCCACTCCGACGAGCGCCAGGGCGGCCACCGGCGGCGGCGGCAGAGCAAGGCAGACCTGCCCGTGGAGCTGCTCGGGGTCGCAGCGATCCAGCTGCCACTGAAGCAGCTGGAGGAGGCCCTGGTCAGGGGCCGATGACCACTCGCAGTGGCAGTCGCAGCGCCCGCCCGCGGCCAGCCCGCCAATGGCGCCCGCGACGACCGAGCTGGCGACGGAGGAGGCGCTCTGAAGCACACTGGTCAGCCAGGCCATCCACTCCGGGCCCGGTCTGAACCAGATAAAGGGCTACAGAGATGGGAAGTGCACGGCGAACCAGAAACGAATGACGTAGGAAACGAAGCATTGCCTTCTCGCTTTTTCGCCTCCGATGGGCTCTTGAGGCCTCAAGATGGCCCCAAGATGGCCCAAGATAGTCCCACGAGAGGCCCAAGAGGGCCCCAAGACGGCCCCAAGAGCGCTTAAGAGCGGCCCAAGAGGGCCCCAAGACGGCATGTTTGAGCCTCCGCGGGGGCGATGGGAATTGGACCCGCCCCCCATCTTTTTTAACGAAAGGGTTCAAGACGGCCCCGAGAGGCAGACAACTATGTGCCAATCTGGGACGCCCGCTGCACGCAATGGGAACGAAGGTCGACGACGCCGAAGGCTGACCCACTCGGCGCGCGGCCAACGGAACCACCACCGACTGCAGACGCTGGCCGAGAACCCTAAACACAGTGTCGCGCATATGTGGGAGGGCAACTGCAGCCCGCAGAGTGCGACGGGGCGCGTGGAGGGGGGGGGGGGGGGGCGCAGCCGCCGCAAGAAGTACGTAACTGAAGGGCAGCCGCGCACCGCCAGGGAGAACGCATGCGGGGGGTGCAGCTAACCGCCGCGAGAGCCACGTGGAAAAACAAGGGGGGGGGGGGGGGCCTGCGCGGTGCAGTGCGGCAAGGCTGGAGTGTACTAGCGCTAGCCACACAGCGACAGGACTGGCAACGCTACGCGACGCAGCTGAGGCCGCACCTAATGTGCACCGGCGGTGCGAAGCTGAAGGGCAGCTGCACACCGACTGAAGGAACGCGCGCGGGGGGCGCAGCTAACCGCCGCAAGAGCCGCGCAGCGCGCAGAGGGGGGCGTGGTGGCACGGGGCAGCGTGGCGCAGGCTGGAGTTGGCCAGCAAAGAGAGCCACAGAGCGACCGAGCCAGAACCTGCCACAGCAGGGGCAGCACCTGATGTGTACCAACCTGGAGCGCCAGCTGCACGCAGTGATAGACGAAGGCCGACGACGCCGAAGGCAAAACCACTTCGGCGCGCGGCCCACGTCACCACCAACGACTGCAGACGCAGGCTACGATGCAAGAACACGGCGCCGCACGGCAGTGCACAGCGCAGAGCGGCATAGGCTGGAGTGAGCCAGCGCTGAGGGCCACTAAGCGACCAGGCCGAAAACACTATGCCACGGCTGGAGCGACACCTGATGTGTGCCAGCTGGGAAAACCCGCTGCACGTGGTGAGAGAAGGCCGACGAAGCCGAAGGCTGAACCACTCGGCGCGTGGCCGACGCGCCCGCCACCGACAGCAGACGCCGGCCACGGCCGGGAGCCAGCGCTGAGAGCCACGGCCAAGACAAGCGACACCACGCAGCACAGCTGGAGGCACCTGACCTAGAACGGCAGAGCGGCGAGCAGGGAGGCGACTATTTCAGGCGACTGCCCCTGCCACCGGCCGCGGGCGGCTGTCCTGTGGACAGCAAAGAGCGCCGGGGGGGGGCGCATGAGCGGCGGGCAGGGAGGCGACTATTTCAGGCGACAGTCCCTGCCACCAGCTGCGGGCGGCTGTCCTGCGGACAGCAGCGAGCGCTGGGGAGGGCACGCACGGCCGACCTCAGGGCGTCGACAGGCGAGGCTGCCGCTATGGGACAGCAAAGCAGGAACCCCTACGCTGGTGAAACTTATAGACGCGGCCTGAGGCACCACTCAGGCGACGCGCGCGCAAGAGGCCCACGGGCAAGGCGGCGCGGCACAAAACCCGCACTGGTGGATGCCGGCGACCCTCGCGTGCTCATGGACGACCAGCCGCGCGGATACCCGCCCCAGTGGCCGTTGCAAGAGAGTGTGGAGCCAGCGGAAGGGGAGCCTTCCAGGCCGCCAGCCCGATAGGACAACCACTCGGGCTGTCGCAGTTGCCACGGCAGTCTTGTGGACAGTGGGGAAGGGCCGCCTGGCCAGTCGGCGAACACAAGTCCCCGCCGTCGTTCCGAGGTCGCGCGGTCGACGTGGCGAGGGGGGGTGCAGCTGACCGCCGCAAGAGGCGCACATCGGGGAGGCTGCTGCACGTTAGGAGTACCACCACCAGGGGGGGGTGCAGCTGACCGCCGCAAGTGACACATGTAAGGATGGGGGGTGGTAGGTATGTGTCGATGCGGCTCGGGCCGGTGTGCATCCACGTAGGACTCGCCGAGGGAGGTGCCCAGCGCCCTATCTTGCGTAACTGGCTGGGCCGGCCAACTGCCGAGGTGCGGCTGCACGGCCCGTGGGGGGTGACAATCCCGGTCAACCAGCCTCTGCGACTGGCAGCTGGCGGCTGTCTGATGGACAGCCGAGTGACGTCTGTGTGGGTGCGTCTACGGTCGTTCCCTGGCATCCACGTGGTGGCTGTCGCAGTGGGACAGCAAGCCAGGCGCGTCCAAGGGGAGGGCGGGGCCTGCGGGCTGCCCCCCCTGGCTGTCTAGGATCGCTGCGCCAAGGGGTGAGATGCGGGGGGCCACTCGCCCCAGCGAGAGCTGCCCCAAGGTATTATGGCCGAGGCCAGGCGCTGCAAGGTGAAACTTTACCCGGCCGGTGAGGCCAGGGTAGCGAGGGGGGTTCGTCGTGCGACAGGCCCGTAGGTCGGTGGTCGCGCTGTCATGTCACCCGGGCTTGCTCGCCCCGGGGCGTACTATTCCCTTCTGTCCCACCATCGTGCACGCTTGTCTATTATGGGTCGTCACCTCTGAGGGAGTAGCGCTTGCCTTTCCCTTTCCAGTCTGATCCAGCCCATGGTGCACTCTGGTGGCTCCAGGATTCCCACTCCTGCCATTCGTGCCAGCGAGAGGGGCTGGCGGAGCCGATGGCGCCTGCGCACCGCTCACGCACGGGTGCCGTCGTGGCTGCCTTGCCTTCTGTTGTCCAGGGTGCGGGTGTACTGCCGGTGGCGGGCCCGCGCTGAGTCAGGGTCTTAGGTTCGCGCTGGAGGAGCTCACTGTGCTTGTTCTTAATCGTCAGCCACTGGACGCCTAGCTTTTGGTCCCCGTCCATTTTGTAGGCGTCGTACCCTGCGCTGCCCTCGTTATCATGAACTCGTCGCACAACTGGATCGTATTGCGTTTGGGGTCGTGCTTCTCGCTGCCGCTAATACCTTGCTTCATGGCCGCCTTCTTCGCCGATGCGGCCCACGCCCCGTTGAACGCTCCTCCCAGTGTCTTTTGAAGGCGTTATATCTTCTCCTGCACGGGCTCGTCCAGAGTGACGTCGGCCTCGGCCACGGTGCACATGTACATGGGGATACCCCCCATGGGGTCACTCGGGTTGCACCTGGTGGGGGTGCGCGAAGCGTCAAGAATATTATTATCGCTACAACTCAAGTTCGCACTGACACCGGTGGAGCCAGTACGCTGGAAAGGGGTCGCCATCGCGACCTCATCAAATCCGGACAAGCCGACCCTGCACAGTGTGCTAATTCCAAATCAAATTTGGCATCGTTGCAAATCGGCAAAGCCTCCAGACGGAGGCCTACGGAATCGATTGCTACCGTTCCTGGCGCCAGAGGCGGGCGAGACACAGTTCGGAGGACTCCCAGGCAGAGGAACCGCCCCTTCGTCTATGGCGTTGAGGGCGGCCCCGGCGCTGGCCAAGCTCAGCAAGCTGTCGTTTGGAACGTTATTTCTGGACGTCGTCCAGGCCTTCTACAGGGCCATTCGGGAACTCGCGGCGCGTGCCCATCGCGAAACCGACCTCGACAACCTTGCCATAGCAACGACTGTGCGAGCAGCCGGCCTCCCGCCAGCCACCATGCATCTACTCGCCGACCGACTCCGACAGTGCAATGCGGCCCTATCCAGATCCGACGCCGACGCCCACGCAGCGGCGCAAGTGGGACAATGCCACCAAAGACCCCGGTTCGTTCACGAATGCTCTGGACAGGCATCTCTGCCACAACGGTCTTTTTTTTCCAGGGCAACCACTCGCGGACGCACTATTTGAAATGCAGATGGCCGTTTGCTTGCGGGGCGCGCGCGCACAGATGCTTGAAGAAGGCCACCCGTAATTTCTACCGCGGGCGGACAGGCCTAGGACCCTTGGAGGACTCAAAGCAGGAGACAGTGGAGAGCCCCAAGCAGAGGCCCCACTGATCGACATCTCATACGCCGACGATGGCTCAGTCATCTTGGCGATGCCTGCCGCACAGCTATATGATGCCTTGAGTCGGCCCCTGGCACTTGCATGGGAGGCATTCGCACGACGTAGGCACATGTTCAACGCTGGGCCGCCCTAGACAGCAGCGCTCACCATGTGGCCCGGACAAGGCGCCGAGCAGGCACGACATGCTGCACGGCGCGAGCATGGCGGGCACATCACAGGAGTATCGGGCACACTCGGGACAGTGAGTGCACCTGTTGTGCACGACTACATACATCTGGGTTCAGTGTTCGACGCAGGCGCAGCAATGACCCCCGAGATCCTCCATCGCGCTGCCTCCACCGCATCCTTCCTCCAAGCTCTCTGTCGGCGCGTCTGTGCGACCGACGATCTCCCTCTACATCATCGAGTAGTGCTTGCGGATAGCTTCATCATGCCAGGATGACGGCATAACGCAAGTGCATGGCCTGCGCCTGCGACAACAGAGGTTAAGCTAGCACACGTAGGCATCGTGAAAATGTACCGCGCTGCCGCACGCGTCCGCTTTCAGGAGGAGGCCTCCCAGGTTTCCGACAGGCTGGTACTAGCCCGACTACAGAGGCCCACCCTGGACATCACGCTACGTGCAGCTAGGCTGCGACTCTTGGGGTCCCTGTACCATACTGGGCCTCAACTGGCCTTTGCTCTTGTGACAGCGGACTGGAATACTGCTACTGATGACCAGACACGACAGCGTACGACCTTGGGCCAGTGGATCCAGGACCTCACGTGGCTGCGACGAGCGGTCAAACAGTGTCAGGACCCCCACTCCCAGCTGATAACCTGAAG